AATGTGACTTTCGGTTTTGGAAATTCAATTATTTCATTTTTGTGCGAAACGATAAAAGGGAAGACCGAAGATTGGGGTGGAAAACAAAATTTTTGGGCTTCTATATCCAAATTTAGTAACAATTCTCATGCTTCATCATCATCATCATTTTTTCTTTATACAAATTTTATAATGCTTATCAATTAGACTTAGTAGTTAGGTCATTTAGGTACAAAATTCAGTGGTACAAAAAAACCGAGAGACAACGAAACAAAAAAGCTACTCGCTATTACCTCATCATAGCATCATTTACTTCATTCATTATAATATCAACTTTTTATTTTTTTTATCTTCATTTCATCAATCCTCTTTACGCAGTTACAAATATAACTTGATATGTTTCAATATGTTTACTTATTTTTGTTTTCTTCTTCAATCGTTAAATGCAGCGCGCTAGCGAAAATCCCTCTGAATGGTAACTAATTAGTTAGCTAGTATTAGTAATTAGCGCTGTTGCGGTATGCAACCCAAATCACATGGTGTAGAGAAAACGTAAGATTATAATATGTTTTTTTGTATATATATATATAATATATGAAGAGAGGATAATGTTATATAATAAATAGGAGGAAGCGTTTTTTTTTGTTCGTTTTTAAATAAAAAAATTATATAATTACATACATCTTGAGCGACTCAAAGAACTTTACACACTAAAATCACTTAGGCTTCATTTTCCTTACTATATATATAATATAATATATTATAAGTGTTACAACTTTTAACAGTGTTTTTTTTTGTCTTCTCCGCATTTTCTTTCTTTTCAAATGGACGACGTTTATTTACTTCATTTCTTTTCTTTTTTTTCTTTATTAATATTTACAAACAACAGTCTTTAGTCGATATATATTTAAATGAAAAATTAAAAAAAAAATAACGGAAGAGCAATCGTTGCGTTTCTTATGTACACACGTAATTGGAGGAAAAATAAATGAAAGAGGCGCGCGTCTGCTTGCGATAACAACAACAGCAACAACAGTAAATGCATATTCAACGATAGATAATAATAATTAGTTATAATAATAATAAGTGTACATGACTAGTTATGACATTATTTGTTCTGTGTCACAGGTTATTTTTTTGTGTTGTTGCTGCTGAAGGTTAAACCGACTGATAAAATATACATATATATATATAACAGGTAGAAGGAAACGAAAGAATCCGAGAACGCGTGGCGATTATCATTCGTTCCTCACTTCAACTCGCGCCTCACATAAATACATAACATACATATATATATATATTACCAACACACGCCTCCCACTAATTAATCCATAAAAAGAAAAAGAAAACGGTGTAAGGAAAGTAAAAATAAACGTGATAAGGAGGACGTGCATGAATATTTCCCCTCCTCCAATGAGATAACGTAACGACGGCAAGCGCGCTCGAAGTTATCATCTTTTACTTCGAAACGAAACGAAAAAAAAAAAACTAACGTTATTACATAATCAATTCATTAATCAATGCTGTGTGGCACCGGTTCCTTATTTTCCTTTTTTTTTGTTTGTCGCTTCTATGTTTTTTTAAATTTGTTAATCATCTGTTTTCCTGATTGCGATTTTTCATCCAACTGCGCATCGAAACGGTCATCAATTACAGCATGTTTCCGCCCGGTTCGCTCCTCGTCGAAGGGTGGTACAGCTGCTTGTGGTGGGGGGAGGGCGTGAAGCTGCTCAGCTGCGGGGCGGGGCCTCTCCATGACATCCCTTCGCAAAAGAAAATTAAAGCTAAACTTCCCTTCGTTCGATTTTGTTGTTGTTGTTGTTGTTATTTTTTGTTTCTACAAATCTGCAAGCACATTTCGAACAAACGAAAAAAAAAAGTGGGAGATAAAACAAAAAAAACTTGAAACTTAATAATTGATTAGTGAAAAATGACAGTTAGAGTAGTGATGGGTGATTAATGAAATCATTTGAATGCTGTGATGCAACAAAACGAAAGCTATAAATCATACGCGAAAAGGACATGGAAATCGATGAAAACCTCATCTATTCCTCATGAATCCACTCGACCATCCGTACGTAATATTAGTCTGACGTGTGTGTGTTTTGTGTCTCGCGGAAATAATAAATCACATTACCTTGATTAATAATAATAAAACTTAATTAAAAAAATGAAAACGATAAATTGGGGATGGACGAGATGAGGATGAGAAAGGAAGGTTAACGTGATTACGATTGTATATTTACCTGGTGGACCGACTCTCGCGTAGACAGGTTGATTCGGGGAGACCAGATCGGGAGGATTGCTCGCTTGACCACCACCACCACCACCACTTCCACCGCCACCTTTCCGGTCTTTCTTGGGTCGTTTCAGCGTTTGATTCGGAGCAAAATATGAGTCCGAGTAGACCTTCCGGTTGTAGTAGCCGCCATTCGAGGCAGGGTACACCTCCTCCTCTTCGGGCGTTTGACCGCTGGCGTTCCAAATCTAACAACAACAACAACAATAATTGGTTAATAACATTTCATTGATGATTATCGATTTCGTTGTAATTACCAAAGAGTTTCCGTTCCGACGGCTTCCGGTTACGAGGGTCGTCGTTGCGTATGGCGCCGGAGAGGTGGCGCTTGTGTTCACCTCGGCATAATCGGAAACTCGTTCCACGTTAGGACTCGCGTACTCCTGGACTTGCATGTTGCTCCGATCGGTCAGCGCTTTGTAGCTTACAGAACCGTTCGGTTCAGTGCTGTATTCCAGCTGATTGGGTCGAGCGTACTTCTCTTGGTGCAGAGGATTAGTGTGCAAATTAATGCTTATACCGTTTTTGGTAAGCTTAGGTCCGTTCAAACTGTTGTACTCCATCCGGTTGTAGTCCTGTTGCGTCGTGAATTTAGTGTAGTCCGGCAGGGTGCTCGAATAGTCCGGCAAGTTATCCTTGTCCATCCACAGGGGCGGATCGAGTTTACCGGTGATTGGCGTATTGAGGACGCCCCCGTTCGATCTGCTCGGCGGGATCGTTTTCTTTGAGAGCATCTGTCTTCGCCGCACCAGAAGCATCGCTCCGAAGAGGAGAACCATCACCGTCACCATGCTGATGAGAAGCGCCAGAAACCAGGTTTCCGTGATGAAATCGCCCGGTTGCATGTCCGGATTAAGCGGACGCTGATGATGATCTATGGATCTGGAGGCGGGGTCGAGGCGGAGTAAAGCCGCCACGCTGTAAGGACCCGCCCCCGCTCTAGTCGCCGCTGCAACCCTAATATTATACGAAATCCCCGCAGTTAAATTGCCCAGCAGTAAAGTCGGTGTAACACCGACTTGAACCACATCCAGATGACCGTCGGTGCCGTTGGACCGCACCTCTACCTTGTATCCTTGAAGCTCTCCATTTAAACTGCCCAACGGGGGACTCTTCCATTTCAGGTAGACCGCAGTCGAATTCAGGAGCAACGCCTCCATGTGAGTCGGAGCTTCCGACGGGGCATCCTCCAACGTTCTGACGATTCGCGAATTCGAAGGTTGCCCCTCAATGGTTTTGTAGAACGGTATAATGAAGAACTGGTAACGCGACCACCTCTCCAAGTTGTTAACAGTAAACCCGGAAGTAGTTCCCGTGTGCAGCACGGTCAGCATGCTGTAGCTTCGTGGAAATTCCGGTGCCGTATCCATGGAGACATAGTAAATGTACAGTCCTTCGACGTACTGGGAATCCAGTATTTCCCAAACTAATTTAACCGCCGTCGGCAGCACCGGAATCACTTCAGCTAATTTAACGATGGTACCCGAAACGAGCGAAGCTCTTGCCTCGCTCAATATCGTTACCTCGGGGTTTCCCCAATTCTGCGCCGGATCTGATCCGACGAAGATCTGCTCGGACATCTGAGACGGTGGACCCAGGCCGTGCCTGTTTTCTGCACGTATGAGGAAAGTGTAAGGGATGTTCGGAGATAGGAGGTGCTGGGTGTATCTGGGACCTGGGACACGTCTCGCAACTATTGTCCACGAAGGGATCACTCCGTCTTCCCTACCGAACAGTTCGATCTGGTAACCCAAAAGACTGGATGAACCGATTTTGTTGTTCTGTCCCCAGGTTATGGTGACGCTACCCTCCGATTGGTTCAGAGCGTGCGGTCTGCTGGGCGGACCCGGAAGCGTAACCGCCTCAGGCGCCTTGAAAAAGTTTATGTTCGGATTCTTGGGATTTTCGACGCGCAGGTGACCAGTCCAAGTGGCCTTGCCGCTCCTCGAGGAAGCCACGCACGTGTAAATACCGGAATCATCTTTTCGCAGTTTGATAATCTCGAGATGACCCGACTTTGTTAAATTAACTTTTTCAGATGCTTGCACCGGGATGCCCTCCTTGTACCAAGAGATGATAGGTTCTGGATTACCTGTTGCTTCGCAATGGAAAACGGCTATGGAGTTTATGGGAAGGGTTTGGTTAACTGGGCCACGTACTATCACTGGTGGCGGTCGGTTCTCTTTTGACGAGACCGTTAATCTGGTTCTCGTAGAAACCGAGCCTGCCGCGTTCACCGCCGAGCATACTATCACCGTTCCAGAATTCTGTATGTGGGCGTTCTTCAGGATCAAAGTGGAGTGACCCTCGGTGTTGGTGAAGGCCTCGTAATTGCTGCTGGACGTGCCAGGGAATATCAAGGCACGATCTCCTTCGAACGTCCAGAAGATGAAGGGTTTAGGACTGCCATGTGCGTTGCAGTGGAAGGACACCTCCTGACCGACCTCCACCGTTTGAGCCAGTGGGCGGGTACTGAATGTGGGTGGAGCGTAAACGGTGAGCGTGGCCGACGCCGTCAACGCCCCGGCTGGATTATCCGCCTCGCAAATGTACTTTCCCTGATCCGACAAGGTGACTCGTTCCAGACGCAAGCTGCGATCCTCGAGAACTCGAACCCTACCCAGAGGCATAGTGCCGCCGGGAGCGCTCCGCCTCCAAAGCACGTCCGGCAACGGATCTCCGCCCACTCCGCACGAAAATTCTACGGTGCTCCCGACCAGTGCCATCAGATCATCCGGAGGTCGTATCAGGTACGGCTTAACTGAAAGCACAACAAATACAAATCGTCAATAGTTAAAATCAATGCTAGTGAATGAATTAACTAACCGTGAACTTTTAGGAGGGCCACCGCGGATTCCCTGATTCCGGCAACGTTCCTGGCGACGCACTGATACCTCCCATCGTCGGCATTACGTGCATCCGTAATGGCTAAACTACCTCCATCGACGATCTTGTATCTTCCTTCAATGTCCAAAGTATGTCCATCCTTGCGCCACGTGATCTGCGGTTCCGGTGTGCCGCGCGGCGGACCGCACTCCAAGATCACGTCGTCGCCGGCAGCAACTCGCGCACTCTGCGGTTCTATACGGAAATCTTCGCGCAAAACTGAAAAAAAAAACAACGTTCGTTATAATCCGGTTGTTATAAAATTTGATTCACGTAACTTTAATAGGAACAGATTTCGAAGCTCGTTAATATCATTGTTGTAAGTTATTTACGAGCGGCGCAATTACACAACCCTTTTCGTTAATAGTAATTAGCCGATTAGTGTGTGGGGTGGGACGATTTTATTGTTATCATCATCATCATCGACACACACAAACAGATGACGCTCTCCGCAGCCGCAGCCGCGAATTTACGCAAATCGCCCGATTATCATCATTTCAATTGAAACAATTAAACGTACTTTTATTCTCTCTCTCCCTTCCACCCATTAATAAGTGGTATACGTGGTGTACACATTCGGATTTCAGTAGATTATGGCCGTCCGTTTTCGATTATTATCATTATTTTAGTTTTCGTTTTGTTTTGCGCGAAATTATTTTCCGTTAATGCGAAACGCAAATAATACGATTTGCGCCGCGCGGATTATTATTTTTCGCAATTATTTTGCATGGATATTTTAATGGTGATGGTGGAGGGTGAAGTGAAGGCTATCTGTATTCTATATTTTATATTCTATTTTCTTTTTGTTTTATATATATATATTTATATTTTTTTTTTAAATTTCCATGATTATACGTGTGCGTGCTTGGCTTCCATCCACGAACCATCACATCCCAAAGTTTCATTATGTACATGGTGTTGCTACATAATATATTAATCCCGATATATAAACGTTAACAAAATAAATTAAACAAAAAATAAACGACCTCAATTATTCACGAACGCGCTTCTAATTACCACATCACATCTACTGTAAAAATAACTTATCATTTATTTATTTTTGCGTTAATTTCGTGAGAATCGATTCGCTTCGGACGAAAGACTACTGAGAAAAACGTCGAGTGGGCGGTGGAGGAGGAGGAGATATAGGATGAGAAAGGGAAGAAATAATAGCGAAATGCTATTATGAATTATGTGCTTTCCAAGGAATCGCGTTATTACGAACTCCTTTTTCTCTTTCTCTCCCTCTCTCTTATATTATTAAAACCTCGCGTTCTTTTATTTTTTTCTATACAGTGTGCCCTTTTTCACCGAACGAAACGAAAATAAAATTTGCAGAGAAACATTTCATTCCATTTTATGCTGTCACAGAGAACAGTGGTATTTCTCGCGTCGTCAATTCAATTTACTTTACATTTAAATTAGTTTTTATGGGAATTATAGAGAAGAATTATTTATATCTAATATTCTAATGATATTTGCGTGTTTTTGCAATGTTGTATGTATCGATTGACGATAGATGTCGTTGCTTTGAAATATTGTGTTTATTAGTTGGCGTTTCTGTAATTGACATATGTCTTCATTTACTTTTTAATCAAGCGATTTCGATTTGTCGAGTATATTTATGTGTGTGAGGAAGGGCGAGAGGGCGAAGGGTGTTATCATCCAATTTGTATGTGAGGAAATGAAAACGTGCGTTCCCCGAATCGAAAACTATCTCTCAATTTCCTAACGTCGCGCGCGAAAGGGGAGAGGGCAGCAACATGTGTACCCCCCACGAATACGAGAAAAAAAAAGGCAAATTAATCCACCCCCCCTGCGTCTCTCGTTTCTCTTCATTTGCATGCAGGGTCCACCAATCCACTCCACCCCTCTCTATCTATCTACACACATATACATTTTTCGATCCTCTATTGCGCTAATCCAATCAATCGGCAATTCGATTGCGATTTTTATTGCGCCGCAATTGGGCGGAAAACGCATCGAAATCGAAATTGCAAAGTCTCCTCTCTTCCGCCCGATGGACTCTTTTTTTTTTTTTTACCGCCCCGTAACGTAACGACAATATCGAGTCAGTCAAACTCGCTGGCGATTAATTAATAATTGCGATTGTCTTTTATTTCGTTTGTTTTCTGTTTTTTTTGCAATAGCCTCGGGCCTCGCGCGAATAATCAATTTAGTCCTAAAACGATGGAGAAATAAAAAGACCGTAAAATAGGGGAATAAATGAAAGTCGAGGTAAAAAAGACTTGGGACGTCTGTCTCTTCGTTCCGACACAACATAATTTTAATCCAACTAGCGTTGGAAGAGTGAAGGAGGCCATGAAATAAAGAAAAGACGAGGAATACGAGAGCAAGAGCAAGAGCAGAGCGGCACTCGATGAGATCCCATTTTCACTTTACACACACACATACCCTTATTGCATCCGCCCTTCTTCCACGTTCACCTCGTCTACTAAAATTACATACGCTGTTCTATCTCATCTTCTACTTTTTATCTCTTTTTCCTTTCTTTTGTCTCCAATTTCACCTTTCACATAACGTCCACCAGGTGGCCATCATAACTGTCAATTACGGACAATTCATGTTATCCGCAGGATAATCGTTAATGTTATTACAGAGAGAAACCTTTCGAACGTTTTTCTATTCAATTTCTTGCACTTTAATGCTTTTAACTGCAAATTATTAAAAGAAATAATGGTAAAAAACGGCCACGAAGGTCGTTAGATTAATGTTCCGTAGATGGCGTCGCATTAAACGTCATTATTTATCTCGCGTTTAATCCGCGCCGGATAATAATATTCGGGGTTTAAAGTTGAGCTTCGAGTGTCTTTCATTATTTCAAAGCCGCGAGGATTAGATTTTTCTCTCTTTTTTTTTGGCTGTTGCTGTTGTTTTTGTTGTCTGTGTGTTTTTTTTTTTAATAAAACGTAATTTATGGGATGCCGACGTCCACACAAAGAAAAAAAACAAACGAAGCAAAAGAAAGGTCAAGACTGTGCGAGCGGTGGGTGGAATGAGGCACCATGAAATATGCACGATGCGACGATGGGGCGGGCGGTTGTTAGGGCCGCAAATCTTTATAAATGCGTAATTTTCGTGAAATGCTGCTGCATGTTTGTTTGCGTGTCCGTCGACACTTTGCATTTGCATGAGAAATGACCGTGAAGGAGGACACACATCACATCGCTGCAAGCGGTGGCGGCGGCGGCGGTCAGCTTTTCGGAAATCGCGTGGGGCGCATACTTTACGAGCGTACGCAAATCTTGTTGTCATTTCTGTATGCTTTTTTTCTTCGATATTTTGCATCCGTAATGCATATTGTTTCCCATATCCCATCAACTTGTTTCGTAAGTAGGCGATGGAATTGGGGGGGGGGATGTAGTTATGGTAATTGGCGGAGGAACGGACGGACGGAGACGCTAACCTCCTCCCCTTCCCTCCTCACGATTGGATCCCAGTTGGCGCCTCGCGATAATTAATATTTAATTCCCTTCAGTGATTATCCGGCAGTTTTCGTGCTCATCATCAGCAGGAATAATCCAATTCCCCCCGGTTGCGCATCCCATCAAAATTATCCCTCCGAAAACGCACGGCTTACACAAATTCCAGAGAGAG